CCCGCTGGAGCTACACGTTCACGCTCTCTGGTCTCTGCTCATCTGCATCCCCCATGTTTGTGGGGTGTGAGGCCCTTCCAGGTGGAGAGGGTTGACTCCCAGTAGTTGGCGGGGGCGGGCAGCGTTGGTGCATCCCAGCCCTGCTCTGAGCGGTTCCTGGGTTGGCTTCTCAGGCTCGTGGAGGTGAAGAGCATGGCCGACCGGATCATCAGCATGCGGACTCAGCTGGTGTCCAACCTCAAGAAAGAGGGATCCTCCCACAACTGGCAGCACATCACTGACCAGATCGGCATGTTCTGCTTCACGGGGCTGAAGCCTGAGCAGGTAAACGCAGTTCCTGTGGTCTCAAGGTGTCGTTTGTGGTCCTTGTCAGCAAGATCTTGACTGCAGATGCCAGAATGAGCCCTCGTGGGCAGTTCTTCCTCCAGGAGGAACATCCTCCAAGCCTGCAGGACTGGAGCATCATGGGGACCCATGTCTTGCTCTGCTCCCTGCTGTGCTTGCAGAGGTTGAAAGCAGACGTAGCCTGCTTATCTGTCAAAGGAAGCAGTCAGTTGGTGCCGCTTTGAGGTGACCTTCCAGGTCAGCTCAAGTGAGGTGACTCTCCTGGCCGAACATCCGCAGGGTTTGTGGGTTGCCCGAGAACCGAGCAGCATCTCTCTTGGTTTACAGGGTGCACTGCTGGCTCTGCAGGTAGTGGGATGCCATGTCTGCTGGCTCCCAGTTCGCTTTCAGTTCTGGCAAGCTGGGTAAATTTGCACTCTGCTAAGAGAGCAGAGGTTGGCCTGCGGTTTGAACTCTGCTCTTTCACCCCAGGTGGAGCGGCTGATCAAGGAGTTCTCCATCTATATGACGAAGGACGGACGAATCTCTGTGGCAGGAGTTACATCGGGCAATGTAGGTTACCTGGCTCATGCCATCCATCAAGTCACAAAGTAAAGACAAAGGTGTGCTGGAGCTGGTGGCCTTCCCTTCTCCACCGGTCGAAGATGGGGAGGGAAAGGAAACGAGCAGAATACTTCCAACCACAGCACTTGACGCCGCTGCTGAATGTATCTTGTAGATGAGTTGTTGTAGAAGCCTAGTCAAAACCACCCTGCGTTGTGGAGCAGGGACATCGTTGCTGGCTCCCGCTCGCCACAGCCGTTCTCCCCTGCTGTCCATCCTTTGTCCATCAGCCCCAGCACCCATCTACACTGGAGGAAGCAAATGCTTAGCACTGCCATCCTACCAGCGTAGGCACCAAAGGCTTCCCCACACTCGTTTCTCCGCAAGAAGGCTTTGTGAGGCTGTTGGCCGCTGGCCCAAGCGGCAGCGGGCGAGGAGCTGGGTGGGCTGAGTGGGAGGGCTGCTCAGGTGTGCCCCTGCCACCTCCTCAGCTGGTCCCTGCTGCCAGCAGGCTCCATCCTCCTCATCCTCCGAGCCTGGGGCTGGGCAGCACCAAAGCTGCCCTCCCACAACCAGCTCTGAGGACTTTTCACTGCTAAAATCCGCTCCATCGTTGGCTTCACTCTTCCCATCTGGGAATCTCCTTTCAGGTGTAATTCACGGTGGCATTGGTGTATGGGGCGGACCCACGTCCCTCCTCTAAACCTGCCTGGTTCTCCTGACTGCACTCCCGTGCCCTGAGGTGAAACAATTTCTCGCCCCCCGCAACAAGAACCTCCTCTGAAAACTGCTCTCTCTTGGTCTCTGCCACTCTCCGTTCAGCAGCCCAGCCCTGTCTCCCCACAGCCCTCCCTGCGAAGCAGAGTCTGTGTGTGTCCCAAAGCCATGAGAGGTGGGCCCCACCATGTCCAGCCTCACGCAGGGGTGCAGGGTGTCCCTCTCATCTGCTCTGTTCAGCCAAAATTCTGGCCACTCCAGAAAAGAGGAGGGAAAGATCCCAAGGGAAATCTGAGAGCTGACGACTCAAAAAGCATTCTGTCCTTTTACACTGAGTGTTCCTGAGGCCCCAATGACTCACTGGACTCTGATTTTTAATCCAAATAAACTGGCACATGGCTCTGTTGAGCTGGGGACTTCCTCCTGTCCTCGTGCAGCTGGATCCTGTCCCTTCCGTGCACCAAATATTCCCTGTCGGGGTTGTGCCAGCGCAGGGGTTCTTGTTTGGCCAGTGAAGCCCTAATCTCCCGAGAATCCCACGTAGAGAGAGGGCAGTTCCCACCCGTGTGCCCCAAGAGCACGGGGGGGGC